GAACCCAGATGGTTAGTGTTAGTTCCAGTAGGTAGTTCAGACAGATGCAGCTGAACTGTGAAGTTAAACAGTAATGAATCTGCAGATAAACAGTAATGAATCTGCAGAGGCACCAGTGTTGCCGCATGAAGCAAAGGTGGTAAAATTTTGGGGTTCTGGCGAGCTGCTGCATTAGCTAGTCTTTAAATTAAAAAAAATAAAAATAAAAACTAAACAAAAAAGTCTCACCAAAACAACTTTTTGATTACGTAAGAGATCTTTTTTCTTTAGTTTAAGTCAGTAGAAAGTACATTCGTGTGAAAAATGTTTGACTTGCTAACACATGCATTGCATCTGGATTTGATTTATTGGGAACATTTAACGACCTCTTCCTGCCTCTGTAGGAGCTAGTGGAAAGGAGACGTACAATGATGGAAGAGTTCAGAAAGTACCGCAAGATGGCACAAGAGCTGTACATGGAGCAGAGGAATGAGCGTTTAGAGCTTCGAGGAGGTAAGTCACATATCCTACTTGTAAAAACTTGCTACTTAATAACTGCTGCCTATTACCAAATAACTACCCCATTCTGGGGATTCCTCCACTGCTTACTCCGTGTCCTGCCAAAGCAGTTTGTTGGTACTCTTTATTCTGAATTGCAACAGGAATTTTTTTTTTAATAGGAGAAAGCTCCAATATGGCTGATAGCTAGAGTTTGTTAGATTTTGTTATCTGTGTTTTTCCTCCCCTCTTTATGCTTCAAGACAAGCATTGGCTTGACCTTGGGATAAGACTGTGAAGAGATTTGGGTGATACATTTAACCAGAAAATCCACTGAAGCCCTGTGGTGGGAGGCAGTTGGTTGGCATTTAATTTGTCTGGCATGTACTGGTTATGATCTGAAGCACCAAATAGCTCTTATTTCACTGCTGGCTTTAAGGGCGGTTTCTGTAAAGAGCATCAAATCTTCCTGTTGCTGCCTCGTTTGGTGCATTCAGTGTTAATGTGCTTTCTATTCCAGGGGTGGACACAGATGAGCTGGACAGCAATGTTGATGACTGGGAGGAGGAGACTGTTGAATTTTTTATCAATGAAGAAATTATTACCCTTGCAGAACCAGAGTAATTAATAAAACTGTGGTAAGATAGCATTACCTCTTGGTAGAGAGAAACTTTTTCTGTTAGCTATTGCTGTATATTCAATAATTTGCTTGAGAAAGTTAGGTCTGTTCGCATAAGTGAATGTGTTTGAGTTAGTTTGTGTTTCCCCTGCACCTAGAGGGGGGAAGAAAGTTTTTTATATATTTGTATGTTGAAAATAGAGACTACTTTCAGCCCCAGCTGTAGGAAATGTCCCTTAGGGAGTTAGGCATTGTTGTATGGGGAGGGAAAAGACACTTTGATAGTGAAGGTAGTTGCATAGGATTTAATGTGGAATGTGTTCCTGCTCTGGAATAGCCTTGATAACTTTGTACTTGGATCTGGCATATCTGTGGCCCATACGTGGGAGACCTTGTTATGGAAGGAAGAGGCAGAGAAGCTGCTTAGTGTCCTGATTTAAACAAACACCAATTTCAGAACAGGTGAAATGCATACTTGTGTAGCTTTTTTAGCAGCTGTGGTGAGGTTGAGCTGCTTGTGTAAAAGCACAATAACTAACTTGCCTCTTTTTCCTTTTCTGCAGCACCACCATATCTTGTGCTGAAAAGAAGTTTGTTTTCGGAAAGCCTACATCAACTTTGGAAGTTTTAATCCATATTCTTACACTCTGGAAGGGTGGATGCACCAGATTTTCTCCATTCTAACACATTGTAGTGCCTTTAAAGTCTTGCTGCTTTCTGCAGTGAGATACTGGAAAGGCACTGCTTTTAAATTTTTTTATTTTTTTTTTTTTTAGGATTTGATTTATTTTTTTTTTTCCCTTTTTAAATCCACTACTAACAGTATTTACTTCCTGACTCAGTACTTACCAACTGGCAGATTTTGACTATTGCCAGTGTGGTGAGATTCATCAGTGCACCTCTGTCTTACACACATGCACGATGTTTCTGTTTCAGGACTCTTTCTATGTCCCAAGTGCATGGACAGGTGTTCATTTTGTTTGGGGAAAAGTCAACAGAACCGTTTTCCGTATGATGTGTTTTAGTGTGCTGAAGCAGCACTACAGTGGGCTATATCCTCCTCCTTTCAGATTGTGAAAGGATGTCTCCCTCAGAGAGCTGAATATGGAAATAAAAGCAGACCTATATGAAAACCAGGCTGGCTACGTGTTGTTTGTAGGGAATCTTTCCCTCAATGATGCAAGTCAAACATACCCACAGTAATAAGAGTGTGTTTGCTATATTGGCTGTATGGTTCCTTTTGGATTTTTTTTTTTTTAACCTGAGTTCCTCATGGCTCTTCTGGTTTTATGCTGTGGTTTGTTTGGTTTTTTTTACAGCAGTGGTACAGCTCATTATAATATCTGACAACTTGACCTGTTCATTGTAGTGGAGTGAGTAGAAAATCAGTGGATTTCTTAAACCATTTGCAAACTGATGCTAGCCTCAGGGAATTACTGGATTAGTCTTAAGTCTTGTGAGTGAACACTGTAAACTTTCAGAGAAGTGCTCTTGTATACACATGCCTTATGCTCCTTTGCAATACCTAGTTTTATTTCTAAAGCCCTCTGTGCTCAGAGGGGAAAAGTGTACTTAAAGTTGCTGGAGCAATTTCTCTGTATTTGTATTTATGAGCAGAAATTCTCTAGATATTGTCAGAGCAGTGAGAGAGATCGGCCTGCTCTTGCCCTTTGAGAGGCAAAGGAGAATATCTCTATCTCTAAAGGAGGATATCTCTATCTCTTCTTTTGCACTGGCCGGTAAAATTGCTCACGCGAGCCCTCTGGAGTGGCTCTTTCCAAAGCCTGTGCTCCCTGCCCCAGCTATGTCTGACAGATCTGAAGTGGGAAGCGGAAAGTGCCCTTTGGGCTAAGGGTAGCCACACTCCATTGGAGGTGGCCAAGGAACAGCAGTGTTTGTGGCACTCGTTTTCCTTTGTCCTTAGGTGAAGTTGCTGCGATAGCAAATGCAGAAACCTCTCAGTTAACTAATCTTCTATTTACCAGGAAAACACTTCAAAAAAATGGTTCCATAATGCTGATATTGACCTGGTTTCGATAGTTCACTCTTAAAGCAGCAGATGTTGGTTAGGTTTTTTTTTCTGGAGATCTATATTAGTTTGCAGTTTTCTGCATTAGTTTATTCATAATCCATATATATAGATACATAGACGATTAAAGTTTTGTCTGCAGTATTTACCAAGCTCATCTCTCAACAGGGCTGGAAATAAATACTTCCTAGCAAAACAGTGCAGAAGAACTTATAGCACATCAAAGCTCTCCAGTAATGTCTTGACCTTCTATAGCAGGAATCATTTTAATTACACTTTAGTTGTGAAGATCTGATTTCTCAACAATTTTCGAAGTTATGGCTTGAGTTGAAAGGTTTTTTTCTTCCTCTGGCTCCATGAAATGATGTTTTAATAGGCTACTGTGTTTTATTTCTGGCCATTTTCAGAGTAAAGAAATGTAATGCCTGTGTTAAATGAATTGAGTTCTCTTTCAAGATGCTGCTTTGAAGTGCGAATCATCAGAGAGCAAAACAAAACACACAAAAAAATCCCCCCCAAAAAAAGCACCCAAAACTTGATGCCTCTGTAGGAGCTTTGGAAGCTGACGAGATACCGTGACCAGCAGCTAAGGCCTCATCTGCAATGCTGGCGTTTCTGACACTGCTCTCTTCAATTACTGTGTTTCTTCAAATGATTTTTGCAAATTATGTGCAACTGAACTTTCTTTATGGGGGTGTATTTGGTAACCTGGTCTGTTCAGCATATCTTGGAATAACACAAGGAGTTGGAATGAGAAGGGTCTTGTTGGTGTGTAGCTACTGGCTTTCAGCCCGCGGCTGTTACAAGAGCTTCTGAAGGATGGTCCAAATAGAAGCGAGTTTGTAGGTGCTCTATGAAGATACATGTATGGGTGGGGAAAAACTTCCAACAGCAGTTGTACCTCCACTGAATGCCTTCAAGGGCCCAGAATTTAGGCAGGGGGCAAGAGGGAGACAAGTAAGATAGTGTCTCTCATTATGTTTGTTAAAGTATTGTCTCAAGTATTTTTAACTGTTCTTAAATAGCAAGATTAACTGGAAGAATTCATATAATCCTGGGCTAGCCTTCATTTTCAGTCTTTATTTTGAATTTGTAATAAATATTCTTATCACCTTTTACCCATCTACAGTCCTTAATGCAAACTTCATAGAGCAAGTTTTGTTTGCTTGCTCTACTAAGTTTTAACTTCTTAAATTCTAATATTTTTAATAAAGCCTTACTGTAACTTTTGAGCTTTGACTTTTTTACTGTCAATAAATAATGAAGACAAGGTAATTTTGTTGTTTTGTTTGTGTTTGGTGGTTTTTTTAATGAATGGATTGACACTAAAAATGCTGAAGGATTGCTTTCCTGAATGGGAGTCATTAAATGCCACCGGATGAAGTGACAATAAATGGAGGTTTGCACTTAGCTCAGGGAGGTGGCAAACTGTTCCCTGACTCTCGCTGGCTGGTGTCAGTTCTGCAAGACTGGAGGGGCCAGGGTGGTGCTTGCTCAGTTTTTGGTGAAGCTGTGGACCCCTGTACCTGGTTGTGCTGCGTGTTTGATCCCAGTGGAAGAGGAACTCTGGCGGCAAATGAAGGCTATGACCTGCTCACCCAGGGTCTGTGCAGGTGGATTTGCATATAAAGAACGAATTTGGGCTTGCAGGTGGGTCCTTGGGCTTACCCTGACTCCCTGGAGCAGGAGGGAGCTGCTGCTGCCCCTTCCTGCCCTGGGGCTGTATTTCCGTGCTGCCTCTTGCGGTCCCTGTAGTCATCTCCCAGGAGCGATGGTGCAGGTATCACCTCTTTTCCTTCCCTGGAGTGATCATGGCTGCTGCATCTGAACCGTTCAGTCTCCTGCCTGTGCAGCCTCATGAAAGGCTCCAGCTCGATGTGTGCATCCTCCTCGGGCAAATCACCCAGCCCTCAGCTGGCATCATCTCGCAGCTCAGCCACGAAGGAGCAGCAGCTTAGGTGAGTCCGCTTGCTTAGGAGAGGACAGAGGATGGGGAGGTGCCGGCTGGGTTGTACCCAGCCCTGGCATCCTTCCTATTGTGTTTCCCAGCTGTCTTTTAGTGTTCCTGGACCCAGACTTGTTCTCTTTGTGCAAAGCTGTAGATGGTTTAAAGCTAAGGTTGGGTGTAACTTTCTCCTCCTGCAGAACAGAACAATGTAGAGTAGGGGAGGTGAGGCTGGATCACCTGGCGGGTGGTGGTGGTTAGTCTTCCCTGAATAGTGATTTTCAGTGTGCTCATCTCTTTGAGATCTATTTGAGTGACAGATCTATGAGCTAAAGGCAGCTGGGGTCGTAGTTCTGTCTGAGTCCACACCATCATTCCAGGACCTTGCCATCTCTTTGTGTTGATCAGAGTAAGAGGAGTGCTTTGAAAATGTAATCCTTTCCCAAGTTTGAACCTTCAACCCTGTGGCTCTTTGGTTAAACTGAAGCATTACTCCCGCTATCTGGTGAAACGTGATTGGGGCAGACACAGAAACCTCTGCTCAGGGTGGAATTGCTTAAGATAAAGTCAATAATATCTAGAATACCTTGCATTCCTCTCTCATGCAAGAAAAAGACTTAGTACTTGGTGTGACCTCTCTCCACATGCTGCTTATTTGGGCTTGTTTTCTTACCCCCAGTGGCTGGGGCTACCAAACACAGCAATTAACTGGACTGTTCCAGAGGTTAAGGCTGTTCAAGAGAGACTTGTGCTATCTCCTGCTCCTCCTGCAGGACTTGCTGTGCAACATAATATTTTCCAATGCTTCTAAGATGAGTTCAGCCCATGGGAATGAGATACTCTTAACAATGTCACTCAATGTGTTAGATGATGAAGCTAAGTTAATTGTTGCATTCCTGTGAATATTAAAAGCCATCCAAAACCAAGGAGCTCACCTTGTACTCTTGACATATTCACAGTGAAGAAATGTTCCCTTTTTGTTGCTGGAACTACTCAAAAACGTCTACCACAGTACTAAAGATTTGAGTTGCCCATGAAACTCTAATTAAATTGACAGGTAAATAAATCTGGTTCCTATAGAAACTAGTTGCTTGTGATTGGTGGGGCTGTAGAACAAGTGTATTTCGATAATTGCACACCCTCATGAGGCATCATTTCTGTGCATTATGCAGTGTTTTATCGGCATCAGCTCTCCTGTCAGGAGCTGCTAAGGGGATACTGCTGTATTATACAAAAGAGAAAACAGTTACAGAAAGGTGAAAATGGAATATCTCATATCTCTGTTATTAGCTGAGACACCAAGGACAGCTTTTAGGTGGGATTTCAAATTGGTGATCTTCACCAGAGACCCTCCACTGGGCGCACGAGTTTGGGATCTTGGACTGTGCAACTTGCCCACGGCTGCAGTGAGTCAGGGCCAGAGCGGGGGCCCAGTTAACCCCACAACTGATCCATGACACCACGCATTCCCTGTTGCTTCACCTCTATGTTAAACAGGCTGAAACACATGTGCTGTAGCACATCATTAGTACTGACAAGTTCACCCTGTGCGTTTTAAATCTTTGAGTCAAATTACCACCTGTGTTACAAAGTGGCGTACCGTTTTCCTGGCTGATTGAGTTGTGGCACGAGGCACTGGCAGTTAATTGGTACTTTCATAATCGCTCCAGTCCTGCAATGAATTCCAGCTTCCGAGGAACCCCGCGGGACCCTGCACGGATCAGGGCCAACTTGCTCTGATCTGGTTGAACAGGCTCATAACGATTGCTACCTAGGATTAAACGAAATGGGTACTTAGTGAAACACAATTCCCTTTCTTTGTCACAAATAACTTTAATCAGTGTTTTGGGAACAACAGGGGAATCTGTAAGTGAGCCCAGCTCTATGGCTTTTGGTACCACGGTCCCAGATCTCTGACAGTTCCTGCTGGCAGCAGCAATGACGGGGCTAAGTTCACTCTGCTGCCTTCTCTGCAAATCAATTGGAGTCTTGCTATGCTAGAGACAGAAACGGGGGAAGAGGGAGGAAGAACTTGTCAAGATAAAAGTGCAAATCATTGGAGGATAAAAGAGTTTCAACTTTATGAAGGTCCTTAATCTCTCCAGGCCCTAAGTTTAAGGTTTTAAGATTGATCAGCAGAAGAGATGCAGTGAGAAGCTGTAGATATTGCCAGTGCTTGCAGAGAGCTGAGTCCTGTTGCAGGTAAGCCTGGGTGGCCTCAGCACACACAAGCCATGTGTGTGTGTGCCGGTGGCCCTGCATCCATCCCATCAGCAAAGCAGAAGCAGCAGAGGGAGCTGCCCTCGTCACGCGCAGAGTGGGCGAGAGGGAAGCTGCGGGGGAAATTGTTCCTGGGCTGCAGGAGAGCTCCCACGGTGGGGACTGGGGACTCTGTGGACCACCACAACACTCTGGCTCTTCTAGTTTATGTGCGAGCACTCGCTTTCAAATCCTGCCAAACCCCTGACCTTGCTGTGACACAACAGGGGTGCAGCTTCCCATGCAAAGGAAACCGCTCCAGTTCTGCTGCTTTCACCTCTTGTGCCTCTTCTTAAGAGGGAGGAATTGCAGGTGGTCCTCACTTACCTTTTCTACATTGCTACATCTGTTTACATATTTTTACTGTGCCCTTGCTATTTACCTTCTTTTCCAATGTAAATCCCATTATTTTCTATCATGCTCCAGCTGATCTTTCTCTGAACCCTTTCTGAATGCACACTAATTCTGTAATTTATTTTTCTCTTGTCTCCACGCCGTAGTCAAATGATAACAGCTCTCAGAAGCAAAGAGAGCACAAATCTCTCTCTTCTCTTTAGGGATTGTCTTACAAATGCAGTTTTTGTTTAGCACCTTACTGGTGATATTTTGTGTGTGTGTCTTTTTAAAGCAGCCATTAACCTCACAACGATATCAGCTTTATTTTTATAAGGCTTATTCAGACTTGCATCATCTGCCCTGAGATCTGTTTTCTCTAATGGAAATCTGGGAAGGAAATGTGCATTACATTAGTCTGAGTAGCTTCTATCTATGAGAATGAACTTCTCTTAATAATCCAAATAACTGTAATTATGAAAGCAAATTAATTGACTGGGCAGTTGAAGTACTTAGATTTCTTGTTGTATTTGGATTTACATCATGTTCCCTGCTATTTTTACTCCTGCCTAACTCATTTAGTGCTGCTTCTGTCTGCTTATTAATCCTAACTCAAAATTGACTCTTAGTGTCTTGTTATGTTTTAATGCTTCTGTGCAATAGCAGAAGATTTATACTTCTAAAATATTGCTAATTAGACAAGGCGTTAGCCCTCGTTTAGGAGAGAAGGGCTCTTTTGGATATGTGGATACACTGTGAGCAAAATTTGGATGTTGCAAGGGCTCATTAGAAGGGGCCGGAAAGCTTTACAGACAATTTCTAAAGGAAACGTGTTGCCACCATTCTCCAAGCTCTGTGCTTGGCTCTCACACTGGCATGTGCACGTGATTATGTGTAAGCCCACCCTTTTGCAGGCAAATGCCACCACCAAGGATAAACCAGGAGTTTCCTTTGGAGTTTGTTCTTCTATTGCTTCAGGTTTTGAGGCCTAAGCTGGACCAGTGAAAAGTAAAGAATTAAAAAAAAAATTTTATGATTGAAAACTTGCAGATCAAAATTAGAGATAGTTGATAGAGATTTGGAATTTGACAGGAAATGCAAAAGAAAAAGAAAAACCCAAGTCTTGATACCTCCTGAACGCCCGTGGGCATTTGTCCTAGATACCTGTCTTTCTCCCATGCCTGGCACACCACTGCCCTTATTTTGTAGGTCAGAAGGTGGTTGGTCTATGTTCTAACTGCTTATCTAATGCTCTGTTTACCTGGGAGAGAGTGAAATCTGCTCTGGAGTAGGAGGCACAGGGTTCTCTATCCCTTCCCTTGAGGCTTGAGCATCTCCTTACAAGCTGTTTCAGTGGAGGAGAAAGAATATCATTCTCTACAGCAATTATATACTGTGATAATGATGTACCAAAATAGATCCTAAGGGACTGAAAAGAAGAAGAACCCGTTCTGTAACCTCCTGCAACTCCTCTCCCACCTTTGTTTTTTTCCTTAATAAAAGCCAGAAATGGAATGAAGTTTCTGTCCTTGTGCAGTGCGGGGTATTTCCATCAGTCCTTCTGCAGGAAAGGCTTTGGAAGATGTTTGGGCACTTTTGCTCCTAAGGAATTTAATTATTTTCTTTCTTGGCTGAAAACTGAGGTAAGAGGTCCTGTTACCCTCCTGCTCCCAGGAGCGTCGGTTGGGTATCATGTCCCTGCAACCATCACTATTATGCAATACCTGCGATTGTTTCACTGCACAAGGAAGCCTCTAGGCATTTTGCAGCAGCTACTAGTTCTCCAAATTACAGAAGTTGCGACATCAATTCCAAAACAAAGCTTGTGGCCCCCACATTGTGCATGTGCGTTTTCCACGGAAAGCTGTAGTGCAATGTTCCTGTGGCCAAGAGATGCGATGGCGATAGCGCTGTCAGAAGTTCTGACAGACTGCTGACCAAACCCAGACATAACGGTTCTTCTTCTGACTTTATAGAACTATAGAATGGTTAAGGTTGGAAGAAACCTTGAAGATCACCTGGTTCCAACCCCCCTGCTGTAGGCAGGGACACCTCTCTCCCACTAGACCAGGTTGCTCAAAGCCCCATTCAACCTGACCACTTCCAGGGGTGGGGCATCCACAACCTCTTTGGGCAGCCTGTTCCAGTGATTCACCACTCTTATGGTGAAGAACTTCTTCCTTGTATCTTATCTTACAACAGAGGGTGGTCCTGATGGATCCAAGCGAAGATCCAGATGACATCTTGCAAGCTAACAGATCCCAAGGAAAACCATTTGTATTTGACATGGTTTTTGATCACAGTGCGACCCTGGTTTTTTTAAAACCAAAAGACTTAACACTAGAATTGTTTTCCCTGCTTAGATGAATGTTTCTGGCAGGTGAGGATAACTGCATATCCCAGAGGACACGTCACCCAGATAAAAGGAGATGGTGCTGAAGTTGAGAGGACGGTGAGGAAAGTTTTCCTGCTGCCAAAGAAGCAGGGAGATGTGCACTCTACAGTCTGCTTTTCCCTCCTGCCTCTGGACTCCCCAGTGCAACACACCAGAGTAGAGATGAAGAGCTTTGATCTCCTGAGGTCTCTGGTGAATGAGATCATTATCACGTTGCTTGGCTCTGGTGCTCACACACTTCTTCCCTGTGCCTCTTTTGTTGTACAGGCTTGCAAAGTGAGCTCTAGTGCCCTTCTGGAGCTGTGCTTTGCAGACAGATGTAAAGTGCATCGCCTGTATTTTGTGATCACTATGACGTGGCTGCAACCTTGCTACTCACAAGCAGCTCAGTCATCTGTGTTCTCTTTCGCACGAAACTTCAGTGTAGCGCTCTTGTATGCTACCTAAGATGTTTCTGGAGGCCCAGTGACACTTCTCAATAAAGGATAAGGTTGGGGAGAGAATTTGCTCGCTTCTCCAGCAGACACGAAACAAACCCAAAGCATTCCGTGTTCAGAGACCGAGAAAATAATCATATTTAAGGACATTTATTTCAGTAAGCTCCCGCACCCTGCCTGCCTTTAGAAATTTCAATAACCCTCTGTGCTGCTTCTGCTTATTTCGATGTGTCAAAATTCATATGGCTCATGAATTGTTTCAAGGCCCAGGAAAAAAAAAATAGTGAGAAAATCAAGGGGAATGCAATTAGATATAGATTATTTGGACAGCTGCTGTGCCTGACCAAAAATTTATGCTTTTTTGACTGAATCAGGAGGAAGTACATGTATCCACAACCAAAAGCCTGATAGAAGGAGTCATTTCTGGCTACAGTGCAACCATTTTTGCTTATGGTCCAACAGGTAAGGTAATCCCTGTAGCTATACTGCTCCAAATGAATAAAATTCTATCTACTAACCAGAAATGAACTTTGAAGCCAATTAGTTGATTGCTGTGTGGACTGAAGCATTGAAATACCATTCTCATCGGGAAGTGTAAATTGCCCTTAAGTAACTGTGAAGCTGCCCTGTTTAAGAGGTGGAATTCAGTGGTGCCAAATCTTGCCATTCAAAAGGAGAAGGAGATGAGGGCACCCATGTAATGCTGGAGACTGCAGGAAAATAGATGTAGCTGTAGAGAACACTTATAGTCTATAAATTATACGAAAATACATTTCTACTCTAGTTCTGAATGCCTAGGTGGGCAGTTAACCTACCTATCTGCCCATCTACAAGTCTTCCTACTCTCTTTGGGTGGCACGTGCCACATCTTTCCTGCGGCAGTGTCATTGTGGAGTGAGAAACTGGAGTTAGGTGATGAAGGATAGAAATTGGTAGGAAACCAGGCTTCATTTATTGTGGAAACTTGCTCACGTGGAAGTCGGTCTTTGCTTTATTTTGTATCTTTAACAGGAGGAGGAAAAACCTACACGATAGGGACAGACTGTGAACCAGGGATTTGCAGCCGTGCTCTGGATGATCTCTTTAAGGCCCTTGAAGCTACTACCGAGGAGATGGATTACATGGTCTCCATGTCCTACCTGGAGGTGAAGTGTCTGTGTTGCCTTGGATCCAGCCTCTGTGGAGCAGGTGTAATGGGAAACGGGGAGTCAATCCACTGAAATGCAGGATCAACTCCAACCCCCTTTGCAGATCTAAGGACCCAGTGCTAGTCTCACATTGGTCATAGAATCAGAATGTTTGGGGTTGGAAAGGACCTCTAGAGATCATCTGGTCCAACCATATCCATGTGCTTTTGTGCATCATTTAGATCATGCAGCTGTTAACAAAAGGAAACAAGCAACGCACTCAGGAACCCACTGCTGCCAACAAGACATCCTCCTGCTCGCACGCAGTGCTGCAGGTGACAGTGACACAGAAAAGCTGGAGGAAGCCAATCGGCTAGAAGTGCGAATTGGAAACGTTTTCATGGTCGACTTGGTGAGATCAGAGAGAGCAGCCCAGGTATGGCTAGAGCTTGGCAGCTTTTGGTGAGACCAGGTTGGATTCCCTGGCTTGCCCTGCAGGGTCTGCATGCCTGTCCTCATCCCTGTGGAAACCATCCATGTGTGCTTCTATGTTGCTCTAGAGCACTAGTTTGTACCTGAGATGGCCTGAAATAAAGATAAAATTTGATGATATCGGTAATGTCTTTTATGAGATCAGCTAGTATAATTGGAAAAATGTAAAGCAGCTTTAGGGTGCAGCCTTTTGTCAGGTCTGAAAAAGCAGCAGCGAATTTCACATCTTAAAGAGAAGCCGAGGTCTGTCAGGCAGGGATCAGCTGGGCTGCCAGAGAGAAAGCTGGCACCAGTAGAACAGAGGGATGCTGGTGGGTGGAAAATAAAGCAGCTGGCTTCTGTAGGGAAGAGGAAAGGCTGGAACACAGGGAGGTGATTTGAGAGAGAGAGATTTTACATACCCAGTATTTCTACTGAGACCAGGAATTCTGGAGTGATGTAGTTATGCATCTTAAACTCTGACATAATATTCAGAATATAATCAATGGCTATCTTTTAAGGACCAAGAGTTCTCACTATGAACCATGAATACCAGTCATCTTTTCCAAGAAGTGTACTCCCACCAGCACCTCTGTGCCTCAGCGGGGTTTAATGCTGCATTTTCAGGTTAATTTTGCAGGAGGCATTGCTTTTACATCCAAACATTGACCCTGGTGATGCCACACATCTTCCCCAGGTGCAGACCCACCCTTCTGAAGCATGTTCTATGTCTGTCTGTCCCCCTTCCCTCCCTACCCTCCCAACAGTCTCAGAACTGGGGCAAGAAGATGAAGGAAGGAGCCCACATCAACCGCTCGCTCCTGGCGTTGGGCAACTGCATCAACGCTTTGAGCAAGAAGGGAGGGAGCCGGGCCCAGTTTGTCAATTTTGGAGACAGCAAACTCACATGCCTGCTCAAGGTAATGTGCTCTGCAGGTTGGTGAGGATCTTGGTGTGTCTGGTATCACCGCTCAAATCGGCCAGAGCTTGAGAGCTGATCCTTGAGGATCTCTGTGCACTGTCTTTATCTAGCTTGGAATGCTTCTTCTGGATTTGCAATGTGATCAGGGCTCGATTTGGCCAGTGCTGTCTCCGTAACAAGCATGTTGTCTTGTGACCCATGTGGTTGAGGAAGGACCTCCCTAGAGGATTAAGGAAATCCTATAGATTTGGATTGTATGTCTCAAAGCTTGCAGGAAACCAGTGATTGATTTATTTTTTTAAATTAACTTACCGCCTTTGAACGTTTCATCCCTTCTATGACATTTTGCTCAAATTGGCCAATAAATTTGGATGTTGTTAAGGCAGGAGACTGAGAGTAACGATGTGCTGTCACAAGCTGTGTCCCTAAGGATATAAGAAAGGTTGCTCTTCGCAACACTGGTTATTTTATGGATACTTTACAACCTTATTTATGAACCTCATCTCAGACCTTGGTGCTGAGCTACCACTGTTGCTGCCTGACAGATGTGTTTTCTAGAGGACAGCAGGGAGGAGAAGGGATGGAGAAAAAGGGAGGCTTCCGTTGCGAGCAGAATTGAGAAGCTGCCAACACATTTGTGGAAACCGTGATTTCTTCTTGCAAAAATTCTTCTTTTGTAGAAAGTTAATTACTTATTGATTTTGCTGTTGATGGAGAGAGGGCCTAATGAATGGTCTTTTACGAGCACTTCCTTCACTCCTAATTGGGATTCTCTACCAGAATCTCAATGAACCACAGGGGTTCCCAGCCACACCGGTTACCACCAGGCAGAAACCTCCTGTCATGTCCATGCTAACCACACCAACGTTGCATCCTTCCTGGACTCATTAGGGGGTAACAGTAGGACTGTTATGACTGCACATATCAGCCCAGCCAGCACCTCCTTTGAAGAATCTCGAATGACCTTGATCTATACCTGTCCAGCGAAAAACATCAAGACGCAGGTAAATGAACAAACGACTGACCAGGAGGCAGAGCTTAGAGATTAAAATCTTGCAAGGTGGGAACAGGAGATGTAGTGGATGAAGGGAAAACAAACTTCAGGAGGAGGCAACGCTCAGTGTGAGTGACAAGAAAAGCAGATAAAGGGAACAATGTAAAGCAAATTGTGTGGATCATGGATAAGAAGAGGAATATGATGGCCAAAGCAAGGAAGCAGAATAATGGAAAGGTGGAGGATGATGTAGCTGGTATGGACCTGGGTGCAGAACATGAGAAATAATGGGCCAGAGAAGACCCTTGGGAGGACAGTGTGTGGGGAATGTCCCAGTGGGAGTGTTGGGACTGGAAGAGGAATGGAGGGACTGCAGAAAGGAGGAATAAAATGGAGAGGCTCGTGGGGTAAAGGAAGATGAACAACGATCTGCAACAGGACTTTTGCTCTTTGTGGATCTCTGTTTTTATCTTGTGGGTGCAGAGTCCCTGGCTCTTCTGTTTACTTTTTGGGAATTTCCCCAAAAATAGGTAAAACCACTAATGTACAGTTTTCCAATCATGAGGAAAAATTCTTCCCTGTCACAGGATCCAGTGACCTTCCAACCAAAAGTATAGTTTTGTTTGCAGCCGTTGTACCAGTAATTAACCATGGGACAAACACGATTGCATTCTGGCTCACCAGGTGAAATGTAACCTGCAGAACATCTCCCAGCACGTTGACCAATACACCAGCATCATCACGGACCTCCGCAGGGAGATTGAGCATCTGAAGGCAAGGGTCGAAAACCAGGAGAAGGAGAGAAGTGCAGTCAGCTTTGACCTTGGGGAACTGCACGGCAGAGGCAGGAGCAAGAAGTGTTGTGAGCTGTCTGGAGGGAAGAGAGCTGGGAGAGGAGCTCTGTGGACAGGTTGTGATAGCTTTTGGTGGGCCTCCATGCAGACATAGCTGGGGGAAGCTGGCTTGGAGAGAAGCAGAGTGAAGCACAGTCTGATAGGCAGTGGAGGCAGGCAAGTGAGCTGAATTTGCTTTTCTGAGTCTGCCTCTGATATACTGTGTGATTCTAGACAACAGATTCAACTTTCTCAGCACTTTTGCCAACACTAACCTGTCAAATTTCACAAACCTGCCCTTGGAAAGAGCTCTGGCATCAAGTGGCAGCATTGGCTGTGGGAAGTCCTGACTCTTACAGAGAGGTGACTGAGTTTGTAGCCAGCGTCCCCATGGGCTCCCAGGCCACATCAGGACACAGAGCTCTGTTGTACGGTTCATTGCACTTAATTAAAAAAAGAAAAAATAGTGAGAGGGGCAGGGTGAAGCTTTTAAAACATTGATTGTTCTGCCCTGGGCATTGTTCCTTTTATCAGTGAATCTGGCAAGGAATGAAATAAAAGTAGTCAAATCCTTTGACAAACAAGACATGAGGTATAATAGGTCTCTGCTACCAATACTCAAGGTCATTTCTAGGTAACAAGCACAGGAAAGCAATACTTTCTTCTTTTTGGCAGGTGAAAAGGGGGAAGAGATGTCCCTGCAATGCAGTATCTTCTTAATACTCACAAAAGCCATAGCAATGAGGTGTATTTATTGCTCATAATATAAGCATAAAGATATATCAGTTTTCTTAAGAACATGATGAACTTCAAGAGACTGTGGAATGAAGCAGAATCCTATAACTGAATGCCTTAACACGCGCACTGAGTGCCTTGGTCCCAGAGCATTGTGGGGACTTGGCAGAAGCTTACCTGGCCTAATGTCAGATCAGGAATGTCTACTCCTGCAGCAGAGAGGCACCAAGGCTCTAACAGTGGCCAAGTCATGAACACCTTGCGGATGCAGCTGATGGGGGCTTTCAGGGAGGAAACGGAGATGAGTCGCAGCCTGATGGAGCTGGAAAACACCAACACGTTGATACCTGCAGGCACCTCCTAACAACTATGGAGTGAGTAGCTCCTTAACTTTGAGCACAATTTGTACGTGAACCTCCAGACTCACCATGGGAAGTGCTAATATCCCCTGGGCCCTCCCAACAAAAATGACAGAAGGATGACATTAAGTGTAGGTTTGAGATTTACCTAAGTGACAAGGCAAACCTTGGGAGGGTGGTGGTCTGCAAAAGGTACCCAGGGATTTAAGGTAGATATGGCCCATGCAACTCTGAGCCTTACATTAAGGTGCTGTATTTGCAATGAGTTATTTCTGCTATGGGGAAACACATCTCTAACCCCTCCTGGCACTTATAAGGAGACTGAAGCCTGCAGATGGTGCTGCACTGCAGTGAAATTGCCTGATGTAGCTCTGTAAGGCAACCAGCTATCTCTAGCACTAAGTTTAAGCTCAAGACTAAAAGTATAAATGGAAGATACCTAATGTCTATTTGGACCTTATTCTGGACTTTTGTTTTAATGCAAATACTGAATGATAGCACAGACTGCGATTATTGCTCCTTCCATGGTCCAGTCACTCTGTGTTTGTGTAGCATTTTCCATCCAGATGTTCTGCATCTGGGTATGATGTCATGTCAGAGAAAGTGTAATCATCTCTTTCTTTCAGGTAAACTATCATTATTGATAGTCACACACTTAATGCTTCTGTAAATTTTATAGTCCCTTGAGATTTTCATCCTTTGTAGTTAAAACAGTCTTCAGGACATTAAAGATACTCAGCAAGTACATGTGAATAGGCAACAATTTGTTATGAGGTGGAGAAAAGCCTGGACTAATGACTTCTGCTGCTGCCATGCACGAAAAATTTGGACAATCAAGGGCTGCACATGCATCATTACAGTTACATCACCACGTACCAGAAGCTCCTTTCTGTTTTTCTAGCAGCTGGGAACGAGAAAAGACTCAGTATGACAAGCCAGCAAAGGAGGAGAAAGATGAAAACACAGAGGAGGAAGACAGAGATGTCGATATCAGAGATTCATCTGAACCTCACAGAGTTAGAACAGCGAGAGAAGAGATCAGCCTGCTGCTGGCAGAACAGCGCAAGACGGTGGCCCTGAGGGTGAGAGGTGAAGGTGTCCTTATGGACACAACTGAAACATGGTGGCTGCTAGTAGACTAAGCACAGTAATTTTTGTAGATGTTACTTTAACCTCAGTGTGAAGGACGCAGCAGAGAACTACTTAGATGTCTTTGTTATCTCAAGAAGCTGAGCCACCTCGGCAACCCCCCTGTCTGTCTTTTTCAGACCGAGCTGGAGCAGCACTTAGCAAGCATGGAGGAAAAAGCTTCCCAGGTGGAAGAGTTCTTCCCTAGGCACGTCACCAGGCAGGATCAGCAGGAGGTCCTTGTGTCAGTCAGGAGCTCTACAGAGCTGTGTTTCATGAAAGTATTGTCCTCTAGAGCTCCATCCTCCTTCCCTTTGACTCAGAGAATCAATAAGGCTTTTGCTGACAGAAAAGGACTCGGGCAGAGCTGTGCATGAGCCAGCGTGTTCGTCCTCCCTGTTGCTGTTGCATCACATTTGAGAGAGAACTGTCTTGGTGGCAAGGAGAAAAGCAAAGTTTAAGTGGCCAAACATGCAACTCTCCAAGTGACCTCTCTGGAGGTCTCTGCTCGCTCACGGCACAGTTGTTATTAATGTTTTCAGGTCTTTCCTGCAAGAAAGGAAAGATGCTGCTGGCCCCTTTGTCTCTGGAAAACTTGTGTGGGTTCTGACACAGTAAGGGGCTGTCAGGAAATTGCCAGTCTTCAGCAGGGAGTCCAAGCAGCAGTGTCTCTTGTTTATTATAATTGCCTAGAATGAATGGGGCAAGGAGTTGAGTTTCACCTTGAATAATAAACTTAATGCTAGTCATGTTGTTACACGAGAGATTAAACTACTTTGGGTGCCCTTCCACAGGAGGGGAGCAAATAGCAGGTGGCTGGAACTATGTAAAAGCCGTCTGCAGGCTGAGAGCCTGGGCTAGAGGAGATTTACAGAGAGAAAAATCACTCTTCCCACGCCCCACAAGAGCCCTTCTCTGGATATAAGTCAGCAGTGTTACTGCAGGAAAGATGCTGCGAGGCTACGTTCCCCAACTTCTCGAGACTTGCATGAGAAAAAGTCACCTGCTGCTGTTCCACTGAGACTGGAGACCTCGGAGGAAATTGCTGCTAACACCAAAAGCATCTCCCTCATTGCAGCCAGTTGCCGTTCCAGAGCCCAACACAGAGACCTTGGGAGCAAAGTCTCCTCAGCCCGCTTCCCTGAGGAGGATATACTTGAGTTGAAGTGTCTGGAGGAAGATTCCACCCCAGACTGTCAGATGAGAGAGAGCACACACGTGGGGGGTTTGCTGTTGGAGCCTGCAGCTGTGAGCCAGCTGTGCTCCCCAGCCAGGGGAGTGCTGAAGAACAGGTCGGACCAGGAGATGTCTTCTGAGAGGAAACCCAGAAAGAAAAGATCTCACTCTCTTGAACTAAACCTCCAGAGGGTAGGTCCTTTGCACCCCTTTCTAGAAGGGATGGCTTGAACAGAAGGCATAGATGCAGTGGAGCCAGGGTAATTTTTAAATACAGTAAAAGAAACATAGTGTAAACTGTGTGAGGAAATAAGTTAAATATCTTTATTCTTCTACAATGTCCTTGACCTCCTGCCAGTCAGGTGGGAAGGGAATCTTTTTGGTATAGCATGGCAAACTCAAAGCACTCTCAGCATGGTTAACTCAACTTGGTGTCTTTCAGACGTCAGAAGCTAACCATTGGACTCCCTCAAGCCCCAATACAAATAAAGCTTGTGAGAACCACCTGCACCGAGCTAGACTGTTCCATCAGTCAAAAGCTGCAACAAAGGTCAAGGTTCCTATCGGCCACCGTTCAGGTAGGGACCAAAGAACCACTGGCAACATTCTGCATCAGCTCTGTTGGAAAAGACAGGATTGTCATGTGAGAAATAAGCGAGAATAAAGGCTAATAATCAGAACTACTAGTAACCTGATTTTAAGTTCTTTTTTTATAGTCTCTATGTAGCTTTTGATGGGTAAGAATGCACTCCTATGCAGACCACTGCCTCAATGATGCTTCTTTAATCTACGGGAAAAATTGGTGTTCAGCTGGGTTCACATGCAACAAGTTGCTGATCTCTTTCTAGTCATTCAGACAGTTTCACATCCAAGCCAAGCCTCAGCAAGGCGACCAAGACATGACAGGCTGCTCTGACCATCTGTCAGCCTCAGTTGTTTTGCTTTGTGCAGACACACAAGGCCAGGATGAGGTTAGGGGAACTGGATACCCAAATCCTATTGAAATGTAGTCAGAATCCTTCCCCATTCTGGCAGGAGGTGCTTACTAATACTAATTAACTTTTCTTATTTATTTTTTTTAACTTGAAAGTGGTTAACTTTTGGTTTACAGTGCTATAATTTATTTTGGCTAGCTATTAGTGACTCACGCATTGCAAAATATTCTTAAAACGTGCTTTGCTCCCACTGTTAATAATGATAGAGGGGACTCCACTGGAGGTGCTGCCAAAAGACAGTGCTCCTGCAAGCACTGTGCAGCAGAGCAACGCTGACTGTGTCAAAGGATGGGTCGTACAGAAGGAAGTCAATGGTAAGTACATGAAATAGCAGGTTGGCTGGCTTAGGAGTCACTACTGCGTTTTTCAGCACTTGCTCTGTTGCAATCTGAACCTAAAGAGCTGTAAATGCCACACAAACAGTCCAGTTGGGAAAGCAGTCACATGGGTAGAGGTTTTACAGCCAAGTTTTAAGCCCTTTTTTTTCAACAGATGACATGGGCAATGTTCCAGAATGCATTAAACTCCATATCCCTCTTAGCCAAAAACAACCTCTTAGGAAGAGAAAATTACATTTTCAGAGGTGTTCATAATCCTAATCTGATCCATATGCGACGTACTAAGTTTAATCTGAGTTAGCCATGTGACAACATGCCACTTCCACTGAAAGTGTCACCTTGGGATTTTCTCAAGGCAGCGATGTGCAGGAGCTAGTGCCTTTGCCAGACTCACTCCTCCACAGCCCGCAGCAATCTCTCTTTTCCCCATTTTGACTGGCAAAGAGACTCGAATCGAAGCATGAGCAACTTCATCTTCCCTCGCTTGCAGGGCCTGCAGATGGTGCCAGCAGTCGGCAAAAGCCCCTGCCAGGCGCCCGCTCGGGGAGCTACTCCAGGAGTTAAGTAGAAGTCATGGGGAGAGCAGGAATCTCTGTATCTCCAAAGGATTGAAAGTCAGGGAAGCCAATACAGGGGGAGTGTGTCTTGAAGTGTATTTTAGTTTCTGATGCTGAAAAGCAAAGGGAAGGCTAACAGCGAAGAGAGGGAGCTTATATGTTGTAGATTGCTTTTTCCATATCGCTACCACAGGTCTTTGTACTGTACACTCTAGCTGTTAGCCTCAGATTAAGGCAAACAGGGTGTTAACAAAGTCCAAGAGAAGAGGAAAAACCCTCATTTTTCCAGCAGTGTTTGCCTCCCAGAAGACATCAGCATGGAGCCCAAGCCACATTTCTTCCTGGGGCAAAAGTGTGGATGCCACCCATGCATCCAAAAGGCTCCCTGACTATTAAAACCAAATGTAAATGCCTGAGAAATAGTTTCTCAGTTCTTCCCTGCTGTCCCTGTGTGTTGCTGTGAAGCTGGGAGGTGTAACACATGCCTGGAATGCTGTTTGGGTGAGCAGATGTTTGGCTGTGAGAACAGCCAGAGATTGCTCTGAGCTCTTTTCCATCTACAGAGCGTTTCAGATCTGACTGCAGCCGGGAGAAGCGGCATGGTGATAGGTGAGGACCCTGATAAGAGCTGGCCTTGCAGGTAAACTGCAGAAATGTGTTTTTCTTTTTGGAACAAACATCTCCAGCCAGGAACCTTCTCCACAAGGGGCTTTTAAGAAGTCTTTTCCTTGCTTTTTTAAATACGCTGCAAACAGAGTTGTTCTGGTCATTGCACTGAATAGTGACTCCATGCCTCAGACACCAGCGGCTTCCCTCCTAGGTCTGCCGAAGTACCTAAGGTGACCATCTCATGCAGGTTCATGCATTTCACAAATGGATGAAGTTTGCTGGGTTTTGTTGTTGTTGTTTTTTTTTTTTTACAGCAGCAGCACTTGCAAAGAATTCTCCTATGTGCTCTCTCTAGCTTGCTGTGTGACACTGCACACACTCCCTATTCCTCTATGCCCCTTGCTTTGCCGTCTGTCAGGAAGATGAGGAATAGTCCACTATGGGCACAAGGAAGCTTTGACTACCTGTATTTATAAAATGCCCTAAACCCCTGAAGTGTGGGTACGATGCAAATGCCTAAGCTGGCATAGCAAGCATCTGATTTTCCTTATGAAACAGAAAGAAGTGTGAAGAGGTGCCACGGCAAAACAGGTTAGGAACCCTTGTTAAGATAACTAAAAATGTTTAAAAGTTCACACAGATAAAATAAGCACAGACGCATGTGAAACAAACCTGTGCCAGCAGGTCTTGAGCCAAGCCTGATTTTACAAGACCTCACGTGACCTGCAGACACTGAAGGACCAAAAGCCTGGGGAAATGGAGTTTTCCAAGCAAATCCTTCTCCACTAAATACTTTTGGGCTGAATCACTGTGAAAAGTTCCAGCGTTTGGAGCTGTTTCACACAAAGCGTGGAGGACATTTGAGCTGAACACATCAGTTTGAGGCTGTAACTCCGACGGGAGGTTGCGTAACGGAGTTTGATAATTTGCTGTGACTGTTGTTAAGAGCCCAGCACCATGTGGTGTGGTAATTTCCCTGTTTGTAAAACCTACATTTCAAGTCTGTTAATAAATGTAAAAGTTTGGGACTGAGATCTCAGAGGTGGAAGCTGCAGGTGACCGTTTGTGGCTTTGTTATCTGCTGGAGGCGAGGCTGCAGCCCATCGCCTGCGCGAAGTGGGATCAACGTTTCCTTCGGCGTCGGGCTAACGGCTTCCTGATTTCATTCTGCTTCTCCATCACAAATGACAAGAGTGGCAAAGGGAGCTTAAACTGTTCTGGGTTTTTCAAAGAGCATTTTCTAGCCTTGCTGTATCCAGTTATCTATACCTTGCTCCTAGGCTAAAACCCAAACGGATGGGTTTTCTTCTTGAAGCAGAGCTCCAGCGAGCAGTGATGCTGTATCTGCCCTGGCCTGAGGGCTGTCCTCACCGCGTCCATCGCTGCCTCCTTCCCCTCGTCCCGTCCCCGGGGCAGCTGCTGGGGGGTTCTTACCTCCGCAGCCCCCAGACCAAACCCCCG